TTGATATCCTAGTTGTCATTGATATGTTCAGTTGAGTTAGTAATGTATGCCAGTTGATATGCTAGTTGGGTAGATCTGTACGACTGCATGTGATACTGATTGATTACCTGTATGTGCATTTATCTGTTACATGTCGACATGTTATGTGGGATGCGTTAAGGTTGTACTGCTCCGTACGGTAGCCAACAAACCCTATAGTATTCCATATATGAGCTGAGGGCTTGGTAGGCATTCCAGACTCATACTGAGGACTCGAGATTATTCCAGATATGAGTTAAGGGCCCGGTAGGCATTCCAGACTCATACTGAGGACTCGGGAGCATTCCAGATACGAGCTAAGGGCTCGGTAGGCATTCCAGAATTGTACTGAGGGCTCGATGGCATTCTAGATATGAGTTGAGGGCCCGGTAGGCATTCCAAACTCGTAGTGAGGGCCCAGGGGTAGTCCAGATTGTAAAGCTGTGGACCTAGTGCATGTTGTTCTGTTTTATTGATATAATATGCCAATATTGATACTGTTATGTGAATTCTATGTGTATCGGTATTTTGGGGTATCTCACTAAGCTTTCGGGCTTACAATTTCAGTTTATTGTTTCAGGTACCTCAGGGGATCTCGGCAAGGCCAAGGCGTGATCGTATTGCTCCTCCTATTATGTCATGTTTCTGGGAAAAGACTCTGATAATCAATGTTTTGAAACCAAAGTTGTTATATATTGATGAACTTGACATGTTTTAAAAAGTTTAAATTTGTTTGAAATTTTGGATGTTACAAGTTGGTATGAGAGCCTAGATGTAACATCCGGATTCCCAGGTATATTATTCTAATATTTTATTTTTGGAGTTTGTGAAGGAACTTGGCGAGTTGATGCTTAGACTCGTCGAGTAGGGTCACGGATTATCATCCGGGTTCGCGACTGGACTCGACGAGTCCATCAGTGGACTCGGCGAGTCCATGCTGTTTAATGAAACCCTAATCCCCCGGGTTTGGAGCCTATTTAAGGGCACTCATAGTCACCCATTGCGGCTACCAGTCCCTTGAGAGAACCCTAAGTGAGCTAAATCATTTGGGAGGAAGGAGAGGCTATATTTGATCTATCTATCTTTGGTTTAGCAAGAAGAGGGTGATCTAGAGAAAGAGGAGACTGAAGGAGGTGCGATTCTAGTGGTTTCAGAGGTCCAGAGACCTTAACCCTTGGAGCTTTATGAGTTATCTTGGGAGTCATGAGCTTAGAATGTCATTTTTGGGGCTAAATCACAAAATGAGACCATCTAGATGATATATGAGTGTCAAGGTCTGGACTTTACGTAATTATTATGCTTGGGAAGGCCAGATCTATGGATTAGAGGAACAGAGCTGACCTCAGGAGGTCAATGGAGTTTGTGCATGGCATGTACTCGCCGAGTTGTTCTTGAGACTCGGCGAGTTGAGTTTGGGTGGCCCCGCGATTCATGCCTGGGCACTCATCGAGTAAAGGGAGGGACTCGATGTGTCAAACGTGACTAAAGAGTTAGTTGACACATGTGGACTCGCCAAGTTGCCCAAGTGCACTCGACGAGTCGGGTCAAAGTTTGACCGTTGACTTTGGTTGACTTTTAGGGTTTGGTCAACAATGAGGGCCTCTGAGCCAAAGGAGGGGTAAAATGGCCTTTTACCCTTCTGAGGGTGCCTAGAGAGGGTTGAGTCTAGTTCTGAGAGTTATATTTATGAGAGTATTACTTTATGTGTTTAGGCGGAGGCTAGATCGTATTTCTACCGAGTTAGTGATTTACCGAGACATCTGAGGTGAGTATTCTCACTATACTTTACCTTGAGTGGTAATTAGAGTTATGTGACAGAGTTATTGTATGCCATTATGTGATGTGTTGTACTGCATTATTTTTATGTGGTTTATATCATGAGTATATCAGAGTTAGAACCGGAAGGTTCACAAAGTTAGGACCAGAGGGTCCACAGAGTTATGGCCCACGAGCCCGTAGAGTTATAGCCTCGAGTGGCTAGTATGTGTAATGTATGGTATTTTGGGAAACTCACTAAGCTTTACGCTTAAAATGTTATGTGTTATGTGTTTCAGGTACCAGTGATGATCGCGGGAAGGCGCCTGCATAATTCGTACACACGCATGGGTTTTTATGTATTTTGATCTTGGGAAATATTTATGAAACAAAGTTATGATACAATGGGGTTTTGTCGATAGATGTGTTTGGAAAAGTGTGTTTAATCTTTCACAACTTCTCCTTTCTTCTTCTAGCTTCTCTTTTGCCAAAATAAGCTTCCTAAGACCAAACACACCCAACAATGGAGGAAATAGGGATATCTAGGGTTTCTGGGGGTAAGAGAGTGTCTATGGAGGCTAAGGAGGGAACCATTATGTTCCTTATATAGTGATTGCCCTTAAAATTAGGGTTTGGGGATTCTGAGAGTACGCTGGGTGTACTTCGACCATCACCCACGTTTCTTTCCCCTCACTACGTTGGGCGTACGTCCAGCTTACGTTGGGCGTACCCAGCCAAACTCAAGCACGCATGCACGACATGCATGAGACCCTTTTCCACTTTTTCCGTTAAGAGCTATAATCAATATCATCTTCAAAACGTCGTAACTCCTCTACTCTAAATCCGCTCCCGATAAACTTTACATTCACGCGAGGGTGCCGAGAAGCCCTATGCTTCTATCAACATACACCAGTACAAAACCTTCTCGGCTAAAACCTATTTCCCATAACAGGACCAAAATTACTCTTCCTCTTAAATCTCAGGGACCCATAATTAAATACTTTAAGAATGGGGTGTTACATTTATTCTCAATAAACATATTTTTATTTACTTAAATATTTTTATAATTTGTTTTATGTTTTATTTGTAACGTTTGATCTTAATAACAAGCATTTTAACTTAAAAATTAAACACTTTATCACTTCATTCACTCAAGATAATAAACTAAGAAAATAACACAACCATACATATTTTACATTTTATACATAAAATTTCAAATCAACCTGCACAAAGATCACAATCATACATATTTCACAATCAAACAAAATTTCGATTTCATATAAACCTAAACAAGTAAATTAACATTGTATACATATAATTTCAATTTCATATCTACTTAAAAATATTTGAATTTCATATAATATTTTAACCACAATTTCAATTTCATATAACGTTAACCAAGTAAGTTAACATTTTATACATACAATTTTAAATTCGCATAAACCTAAACCAACAAACAATATACATATACCAAACAAACAACACAATTCTATAATCAACGGAGGATCAATTTCAATTTCAATTTCATGAAAACTTATATATATATATATATATATATATATATATGTACAATTTCAATTTCAATAAAAATTAGAAAAAAATTAAAAATAAACTGACCTGTGTTTCGTTCTTCTTACTGTGATGGATGGATTCGGCTAGTTAAACTCAATGGTAATCCTCCGGTGGTGGCTGGAGGCCACAGGAAATAAATAAAGTCAGAAAAAAATTGAACAATGTTGAAAAACCCACCAGTGAACAACTCCGATGGTGGCTAGCAAGGGGTCACCAGTGAACAAGTGGCCGGTGTAAAGCTTGAGGTAGAAAACGGGCGGTGGTGCTTCATCACTGGTGAACTACTCTATACAGCAAAAAACCCCAAATTTAGGGTAAAAATCATTACCAAACAACAATAAAAAACCGAAATAGGAGTAGAAAAAACCTTACCTGGGATTAATCGACGGTGATGGGAGTTGGAATGCGATTTTTGTCGGATGTAAATAGAGTAACTGCGTTGCTGTGTGCAAATGAAGGAAGTCTGCATCTTTTTTAGGGTAAACACCTATGCCGACGACATGTCGTCGGTATAGGGTCCATATAAACAATGACGTTTTGTATTTTACTGAAACAAAAAAATATATAAAAATTAAAAAGCCTATGCCGAAGACTAGTCGTCGGGATAGCCGTACACAATACTACGGTGTTATGTTTTTCTAGCACATGGAATAAAAATAAATGGAAAATATATTTTTTTGATACCTATCCCGACGACGTGTCGCCGGTATAGATTTTCAGAATACCGCAAACATTTTCATCGTTCCCGCCAGACTTGTAGCGATGACATGTTGTCGGCACAGATATCGTGGTCAAAGGTTGCAAAAGATATGGCGAGCACAAGTCGTCGGGATAGGGGGACCTGTAGCGACGACGGACGTCGTCGGCATAGGTGTGGTCGGCATATCTTAGCATCCTTGTAGTGATAATTACAATAACAAAGAATAAATTGTTAAATACAATACAAACCAGGCCTAAGGCCCGATACACAAATATACATGAGGTGTACAATGATGGGTAACAATAACAATGTAAATTGTAACCTACACGTCGACTAACAATAACAAAAGATATTCCTTAAAAAGGAATGATACTCCTTAAAAGCCATGTTTATAATATAAATAACATATTTAAGGCAACGGTGTTTTGTTGTCAATGCTTTCCTTCATGGAAGGATACATACCCACTTTGGTCTCTATCGATTTGTTTGGAACCCATCAAAATCGCATGTGAAATCTTGGACAACTATCAAGATTGCAACTGTATCCATTCCTAAAGAATCATCTATCAAAGTCGCAACTAAATCGGCATCAAAAGTGGCCCAAATCACAACACAGTTATCTTCTAAAAACCGACTGATAATCGATTTCTATAAATCGCAGTCGTTGATAGATTTTGATAGTTCATCAGCATCAAAATATTAATCATCTTTGAAGTTGAAGTGTTCAAAAACAATAATTGAAGTTGAAGCGTTCATCATCATCATCGAAGGTACCTTTCAGCCCACATTCTTTTTGGCAATTTCGTCATCTTCTCCGTTTGTTATATTATTCACCCCTATTGGCAGGAAGGCAAACTAAGTTCAATGGCAGCGGAAGACTGATAAAAACGTTGAGATATGGAAGATTAAGAAGCTTATAAAGGCACTAGAAGCTGCAAGAGGCAACGGAACCAGCATGATATCATTGATTATACCTCCATGCGATCAAATTTCTCGAGTAACCAAAATGCTCGGTGATGAATTTGGAACTGCTTCAAACATTAAGAGCAGAGTAAATCGTCAATCTGTGTTAGGCGCTATAACATCTGCCCAGCAGAGGCTCAAGCTCTACAACAAGATACCCCCTAATGGACTCGTGCTCTACACAGGAACAATAGTAACAAGTGACGAGAAAGAGAAAAAGGTTACATTTGACTTCGAGCCTTTCAAACCTATAAACTCATCCCTATATCTCTGTGACAACAAATTCCACACAGAAGCTCTTAAACAACTGTTGGAATCTGATGACAAGTTTGGTTTCATTGTCATCGATGGTAATGGTACCCTCTTTGGAACAGTAAGTGGCGATACTAAGGAGGTTCTACACAAATACACCGTTGAGTTGCCAAAGAAACATGGAAGAGGAGGACAATCAGCTTTGAGATTTGATCGTATTCGTATGGAGAAACGTCACAATTATGTAAGGAAGACAGCAGAGCTTGCGACACAGTTTTATATCAATCCTTCTACTAATCAGCCTAATGTTTCTGGACTTATACTTGCTGGATGCGCTGATTTCAAGACTGAGCTCAGTCAATCTGATTTGTTTGACCATCGTCTTCAGGAGAAAATCTTGAATGTTGTCGATGTCTCTTACGGAGGTGAGAATGGTTTCAATCAAGCAATTAAGTTGTCGTCAGAGATTCTTGCCAATGTGAAGTTTATACAGGAGAAGCGTTTGATTGGGAAGTATTTTGAGGAGATAAATCTTGATAGGGGGAAGTATGTCGTTGGAATTGATGACACTTTGGAAGCTTTACACATGGGTGCTGTGGAAACACTGCTTGTTTGGGAAAATCTTGAAATTAATCGCTATGTTCTAAGAAACAATGCTTCTGGTGAAATTGTTATAAAGTATTTAAACAAGGAACAGGAGACTGATGGGAGTAATTTAGGGATTCAGTCAGCGATGCTGAACTTGTAGTTGAGGAAAATATGTCTCTGAATGAGTGGTTTGTTAATGAGTACAAAAGATTTGGCTGTAAGCTTGAGTTTGTCACAAACAAATCTCAAGAGGGGTTAAATTTTTGTAGAGGCCTTGGTGGGATTGGTGGAATTCTTCGTTACCAGCTTCTTATTCATTCATTTGATGAGCTGTCTGATGATGGAGAAAATAATGACATTGAAAATTCTGATGATGGGGAAAGTTATGACACTGAAAAGCATGATGATGGAGAAAATTATAATGTGGAATAGCAATCAACTACTTGTCAAATGCCCATACAGGGGGATGGGATCAAGAGTCAGTTTTTTTTTTTTCCACGCTAGTATTGTGATGATTTCTAGTTCAATAGAATAGAATTACAAAGATACAAGTAGTGCTAGATTCTTAGCTAATTGAAACTTATAAGAATTGTTGCAACATTTTAGGATGAGGAATTTAGTGTTTAAAAGTTCATATGCTCATAGTATGCAATGTAATCTCCTTTCTGCAAAACTTTATTCTCGTCCCCTGAAAATCTCAACACTTGTTAATTGTCATCCGACACACAACTTTAGGAGCTTTAGCGTCCACCAACAGGTTAATGTGGAAAGAAATACTTGTAGTATATAGTTGTAGACAATTGGAAAGTAATACTTGATATTGCATTGATTCTGTTTTTTTCTTAGCATGAACACAAAGAATATTGTAGAATTTGGTGACACTAATTTTACATATGAGGCTTTATGTTTCTTGTACTACTATTGCAACTTGAATGTATATTAAAAATATGTAAATCAAAAGTTCCAAGTTGCATACGATATATGTATTTTCAGTTAATGTTGCATATGCCTTCTTTTCCTTTCTTTTATCTTTTTTGGTGTTGATAAAGGAGAACTTCACTTAAAATAGAGGTGATGAGGACTATGTTTTTAATTGTATGTTCCGTGTAGTTTTATTAAAAACTTATTTAATTGCTGGCGTTATTAATTTTTGCATATCCATCATTCGGATTCCAATGGAAACAAACTTATGTGTGTGTATAACCTTTCCCATTGTTGCCATTGGCAGGCAATTTAAGTATGATGGCTGCTGATGCTGATGAAACTGATAAGAACACAGGAACTGCTGATTTCAACACTCAACTTAGTCAATCTGATATGTTTGGACTTGATGTCAAAATCTTAATTGTTGCTGATGGAGGTGAAATTAGTTTCAAGCAGCTCCCGGATGATGGGAAGATATATGATAGCGAAGAGCAATCAACCACTTTTGAAGTCCCTTGCATTATTCCCTAGCTATTCTTGGAATCCTAACAAATGTCAGTTCTATATTTCCTATAAATTGTGTCTGTTTGCATGACATATTACTATTTTAGGCTTTACATGTTTTTTAAGTTATCGCATATTTGTTTTAACTATAACAGTTCTCATTCTTGGCACTCTATTCTCATCCCCTAAAGATTTGAAACAATTGCTTTTATGGCACTCTATTCTCCACCAACTGATCAAAGTGCTTCTTTATTAATTAATTTATTTATTTATTTTAGTCTTTTTCCAAAGATAAATAGTTAAAGTTGCATTTTCATTGGACACGCCAAGTGATATACTTGTGCAACTTAATTTTTTATGTAAATGAACCTGAAAAAAATGAAGTTGAGGGATTTAATATAGTTGGTAGATTTATTTCTGCACTAAATCTTTATCAAACATTCAAACTTGAGCCTTTTTAAGCTATTTACTATTCGTTGTAAAGCATTTTTATCGTTTCTTTGTTGAAACAATTGCAACTAAATGGTGAGAGATGGTGCCATCCTCAAGATGTTGCATGAGAACAATTTCTTCCAGAAAGTTCAGTCGCTAAATACGAACATATTTTTGACAGACTTGTTTATGTGACTATGTCGATGGAATACTCATGGAACATATTACAGACGCATATTATTTCTGACAATTTCCAACGAAGTACTGATAAAGGTCATTTTTTTTATAATTTCCAATAGAATATGAAAATTCTCATTTTTGACAGTTTTAGTGTAGAAAATTATTTTTAACACCAATAAAAGAATTCCAAATTGTCAATATAAAATGCTAAAGAAATCTAAGGATATGTTTGGTAAAGAGAATTAGGATCAAAGAAATGGAATGCATTCCATTTCTCATGTTTGGTTAGTACTATGAAAGAAGAGAAAAGAAAATAATTTAATTCCATTTCCATTCTTTCATTTCTCTTTTTCTTTTTGTTATAAAGAAATGGAGAGAGAAAAGCCTACCGAGAAAAAACAAAAAAGAAACGCAAACAAGTAATTGATTCCTTACTTCTACATCGAACCTTACTGGGATATGATACCTATTTTTCTTCCATGATTATCTTATCTCCATAGAAATCGATTTCTTCACTGCTATTGCTTCTTGATTTCACGCTTCGACAGAGATTGATGGCTTCATTGGCAGTATCTTTATCCCAATTCACTAGTAGAAAACAACTCTTTAATGACGCACATTACGTGTCATAAAGGGATACATGTGACATGCAAATGTGTGTCATTAAAGCCCTTGTGATAAAGGAAGACGATATGCTTTAACATGTCATAAGCTTACGATATGCATTTACGGCACACATTGTGTGTCATTAAAGCCTTGTCATAAAGGAAGACGTCAAACATTTTTGCATGTCATAATTTTATGATTTATCAAAAAAATATTTTTAATAGATTACTAATTTTCAAATTAAATTATACATTTAAATTCTCATAATACAAAATAAAATTCCATAACCAAAAAATGATAATCCATTGCACAAAATATAATATGTCAAACACAAATGATCATTCTAATGGTAAATAAATGTAATAAATTGCTAATATAGCACAACATTACAAAAGATGGACTATAACAATACAATACAATATTGACACTACACAAATTGTCCCAACAATCTCCCCTTTGTGTCAATAAGGAAGGCAGATTCTTCATAGTTGTTGGCGCTTCTGAACTACGAACAGTTTCGGTATAATCCCGAAAAGAGTCTTGCAAACTATGATGTACTAGTTTAGCATGTATGAGAAACATTTCTTTTCCCGAGCATTGTTCTCTTTGCATTGATTCATTAACTCCATAATGGATTCCAGGGATGAGGTGGAGTATAGATGCTTATCAGCCAAAGTGAAGCAAACTCTATTAAATTCAACATCAGCTCTTTAACGAATCTGGAATGTCATACGCCAACCATCCTTTCGTATTCTACCCAACTTCATCTTGTTAAAATCTTATGGAGCTTCCTTGGGTAATACTGTTGGCTTCTTTCGTAGAACTGTCGGTATCTCTACATCCATCTTACCATCTTCCTGGATGTACGAGACCAACATCCTTTTGAGATGCGCCATGATAGGTTCATATTTATGTTTATCCTTCAGAAGGAGATGAAGCAGAGATATCCAATCATATGAGTTTAGGCATGACAAATCAGCCAGTGTGAATTCAAAGACAGAACTCACAACTCCTCGTGCAACCTTGAAACGAGCATTCGGGAAGCTTCCGGTTTCAATAGGGCCAGAAACCTTCACAACTGTAATTTTCTTTGAACTCCAGGTTTCGTATTGCAGCTTCATGTGCTTTAGATAAAATGAGAATAGCCTCTTATTAGCATCAGTATCAAAAAGAGAAGCATTCACAACTTTTCAAATCAACGAAACAGAAAGGCCTTTGGAGTAATTGGTAGATCAAGCTACGAATCAAGAGAGTTCTCCATTTCGAACAACGTAATAGGTTCAAACCAATAAAAACTTGGATTATCAATGGCTTCATTCAGGATTTGTTCCATTGACCGGAGAGGGAAGATAAGCTTTTGAGTTCCAAAGTGAGCTGGGCTTCATGGGCATTCCTTTATTTTTCTTTAGCTTCCCTGAAAATGCGATGATTGTTGTCAATTTTTGCACGATGAACCTTCCTTCTTCATTTCTCATTTTCATCTTTTTCTTCCTCTTCACTGTCATCCACCAACTTTTCTTTTCCTCTTGAACCCGAAGCTACATTATCCTTCGATTCGTTTGACTTTGGCTTTTGTTCTTGATCATTTCCACCACCAGTTTCTTTTATAACACCAGAACTTCTCACCGGTTCCCCCCTTTTTTTGAATAGAAGATTCCAAAACACCTTGAATTATGTCTAGCATGGAGAACATAGGATTCAATTTTTGTGACCAGATGCTAATGAACAGAGGCTATGAGGAGAGAATCATGAGTCTCAGTTAGACTGTGCACATCGGCATTCACATCAGCAACGCAACTTTTGATAACAGCTTTCTCGAATTTCAGTTTGGCAATCTGGGAATTCGTATGCGATAACTTCACTGAGAGAACCTTCACCATCTCAATTTTAGCATTGAGCGCATTATCTTGTTCTAAAGAGCCAAATCATCGTGAATTTTTTCAATTTTGGAAGAGATGGATGCTTGGAACTCAGAATTTCAGTTTGGATCTCAGAGTGAACCGTCGTAAGAGTCGCCTTTTCAGTTTAGAGAGTAGAAAAAAGGCTATTCATGGTTGTGTTTGCATACGTTGTGTTGCGTTCGGATGAAGTGCGGAAATCCTCCATAAAATTTTTAATATCAGAAAGTAGTTTATCGACTTTTTAAGTTGTTTCCTTGCAAGCCTTTTTCAGAATCAGGAACTGCTTTGTCAATGAGGGTGAGATTCGCAACATGCTCCTTAGTAAGTGTTTCAAGGAAGACTTTGACAGAGGCCTAGAAGTATTCACTGCTGGATGAGGCATTGGTGGACTCAAGTAAAGAATCTAACTTGGTCCTTAGGGCCTTGAACAGCCCTGTTGTCATTCGAGCATCATCTTTTTCACTTTCTAGTTGAACATGGAAAGGGTTGTAGTGAAAGTTTTCGAAAACATCCTAATCATCACCAAATATTGTATCCAGATCATCTTGGCATAAAGGTGAGATGAGAGCAATACCAACACCAGAAGAGAAACCAGAAGTCCCTGCCCCCGTATCAGATACGTTGATAGTGACTGGTGGTGTACTAGTGGTCGTTGTTGTTGTTACAGTGGACTCTATAAATAAAGGAGTGGATAAGGTAATAGAAACCTGTGGTTGCAAAACTACCATAGAGGCATTTGGACAAGGAGCAATTGTGGTAGTAGTAGGAGAAGGTGGAGAAAAATCCTAGAAAAAAATCATCTATTATGGGCACAGAGGCGGGCACTGAAAAAGTTACCTCAAGATTGGTTTTTGATGGCACTGAAACAATGGGATGCAAAGTCTCAGCTATGGAAACGGTTTCGTGCTGGATTTGCTCTTGTGTGCGAATATCAAATATGGTGTTAGACTCTGAATCCTCCTCATCACTTGGAGTAGGCATCATGGGCTTGCGAGCGATTTGCTTGACTTTCTTCTTTGAGGTTTGAGCAGGCACGAAGGTTCTAACCTTTATTTTTCTCTTACCCCCTTTCTTAGGCTTGTCGACCTCTTCTAAAACTTGTCACATCACAACTGTTAATGGACGTGCACCCGAAGCCGGTTGTCTGCGATATTCATTGATAATAGCACTGTCAGCCGGAACATTGTGAAACATCATTTCTGGAATAGATCCGATGAATGTAAACCGTGAATTATCAGACAATATAACGTTGGAAGTGTGATGAATGGAGTAACAACAATAATCAAACCCTCTATTACCAGGATATTGAGGCGATTAATCTCCCTTTGAAGAGCACAAGAAATCTTATTATGACTTGGTGATGGATGCTTGTTGATTACCCAGTTCATACGTAATAGTAGCATTGCTTGCTTCGTAATGAGCAGTAGAGAAAGCTTTGGATAGAAGAGCCAAAGGAACATTCTCGGTTTTCGATAAAGTAACGGCCAACAGACAGTATCTCAGGTATTCAATCAGTGGTTGGAGAAGGGCGTAGTACTTGGATGGATCAAGATCCAAGATAAGATCCTGGTTAGCCTTAATGCCTAGTAGTGTTGATTGAGCCATTTGTTCAGTGACAAAAGGAGTCTCAAATGAGGCTTTCGTTGAATCTTGGTGAAGAAGATAAATAGTAATAGAGAGAGAGAGAGAGAGAATGTGCTGTGAGAAAATAGATTTCTTTAAAAGTGGTAAGGTAGAATGAAGCGACGATTTTCCTTTTCTCTGGTATGATTAGAGAGAGAAAAATGGCGTTTGGCGCTCCCTAATCTTTGAAAAAGTGCCTGAAAAGGCATGACAGGTTGGCATATGTCAGGCGTGATGTCAGACGGCATGATCTCAGGGTCAGTTTGAAATCTTCACGTGCCACAA